GACTGCACTCATGAGAACTTATGTACCTCTCTCCCGCAAAGAGAACGAGGAAGACGACCACAGTCGAAATGAGGAAACTCACGAGCCAGCGATCCAGCGCAAATGTGTAGTATGGGCAGAACAGGAGAGCCACGACGGCGAACGCACATCGCCAAAGCAAGCGCCTTCCCGCTGCTTCGTGGCAATCTAATAGACTCGCCCAATTAATGTAAAGTGTACCAACCGCATCAGTAAAATAAACTGATATTCGTGTGTCCGATTTCTTAAAAATATATTGTGGCTGCTTACGTGGGTCGTGAGGTAGCAGATAGATACTAGGTAGTGACTAAGTATTTCTCAAAACCTTTTTCACGTCATCGATGCAAAGTAAACAACGATTGTCCGCTCTTGCGAGATCGACGCCCGCGAGACCCAGAAAGATACGCCTTGTGTGTCGGGGGCGAGCGCGAGTCTTTGTCTCGCGGGGGAAAACGCCCGCCGATCAGAGGGTAGGCAAACCCGCCCAGCGCAAGCGAGCACGCGCGCAGCAGGGTTGTGGATCGAGGAAGTCGACCTGGAATAAAGAACTTTGATATATCCTAAGATGAGACGCACGGCACATTGTAGCCCATCATCAACCCCTTGTCTAATGTCTGCTCCAGGGGGGCGGGGGCAAGGGCGGGTCTCCGGCCCGCGCTTGCCTCACAAGCGCGGATACAATCAGTGCTTTCTTTCTTATTGACCCAACGAGACAATGCTCTTTTCTTGTGAAGATGTGTTCACCTCCCCCGCGAATTGACAACAAAAAAACAATCCGAGAGCCTGTTTCTTCCCTGTAGAGCCATTAATAGCTCGCTGGTCAGCGCGGCCGCGCGTTAGCCGCGCGCCGTCACCAGCTGCGTGTCGCCGCTCCGCTTCCTGGAGGAGCTCCTCGCGCAGCTCACACTGTTAAATCAAGCGTGAGCTAATGTGGGCCACGGTGCCTCACATTAGCTAAGTGCTTGTGGTGCAGATCCCATACGAATTAGCTAATATGAGGCGCTCGATGTTCTACTTTTATCTGAATGTGAGGCACCCTGCCCCACATTAGCTAACGTGTAACAGTCTCACGCTTGATTTAACAGTGTATCGAACGACGCCTAAAATGAACTGCTCGAGGTGTGGCGCAATGGCTGCCTGTGTCCAGCATACCCATACCCGTCGCGCAGTCCTGTAAGTCGGAAGTCCTCAGCAGTTTCGCGAACCGGAGGCTGACGTGCCGGACCGGA